CTGCACGGCCTCCTGCATGGCCCCGAGGTGCACGGGGATGTGGGGGGCGTTGGACACGAGCCCCCCGTCCGGCCCGAAGAGGGCGCAGGAGAAGTCCAGGCGCTCCTTGATGTTGGTGGAGATGGCCGTGCGCTGCAGGATGCGGCCCATCTGCTCTGCGGGGCCACGGCACCCTCAGGGGGGCACCCCAAAACCGGGACACCCCCGGGGGACCACCAGGAGACCCCCCCAGGAACCATCCAGGAGACCCCCCCGGGGCCCCCTGTCCAGGATCTTTGATGGAGAACTGAAGGGAGCCGAGTTTGAGTCAAGGGGTCCCTGCCCATGGGGGGCACCCCAAAACTGGGACACCCCCGGGGGACCACCAGGAACCCCCCCAGGACCCCCCCGGGCCCCCCCGCCCCGGCTGGGTAAAGCCCCCCACCCACCCACGGTGCTGGACGTGGTCGAGCTGGCAGCTGAGGGGAGTCCCCCCCTTTGGGGTCCTCGGGGGGGCGCCCCAAACCTGGGACACCCCCGGGGGACCACCAGGAGACCCCCCAGGAACCATCCAGGAGACCCCCCGGGACCCCCTGTCCAGGAGCTTTGATGGAGAACTGAAGGGGGCCGAGTTTGAGTCAAGGGGTCCCTGCCCATGGGGACCCTCAGAGGGGCACCCCAAAACTGGGACACCCCGGAGGGACCACCAGGAACCCCCCCTGGAAACCCCCGGGCCCCCCAGTCCCGGCTGGGCAAAGCCCCCCACCCACCCACAGTGCTGGATGTGGTTGAGCTGGCGGCTGAGGGCAGGGGAGTCCCCGCCTTTGGGGGTCCTCAGGGGGGCACCCCAAAACCGGGACACCCCCGGGGGATCACCAGGAGACCCCCCAGGAACCACCGAGGAGATCCCTGAGACCCCCTGTCCAGGAGTTTTGATGGAGAACTGAACGGGGCTGAGTTTGAGTCAAGGGGTCCCTGCCCGTGGGGACCCTCAGAGGGGCACCCTAAAACCGGGACCCCCCCGGGGGACCACCAGGAGACCCCCCAGGAACCACCCAGGAGACCCCCCCGGAGCCCCCTGTCCAGGAGCTTTGATGGAGAACTGAAGGGGGCTGAGTTTGAGTCAA